CAAGTATAAGTCAGACGGCACGATAGACAAGCGCAAGGCTCGTGTGGTGGCTCAAGGGTTTGGTATGAAACCTGAAATAGACTTTCACGAAACGTTTGCTCCCGTGGCAAGATTGGCTTCTATACGTGCTGCGGTTGCAGTAGCTTTCTCTAAAGACATGAAGATTCGGCAACTCGATATAACTACAGCTTATCTGAATGGAATTATCAAAGAGAAGATCTTTATGGAGACTCCGAAACATTTAGAAGAAATATTTGAACACATCGTGAGAACCGAAAAGAAGGAAACAACAATCAGAGAAGAAGCAAGAAAGATGATGGAGCGAATGCGTAAAGGCGACGTGGTTTGTTTACTGAACAAGGGTCTTTACGGTCTACCACAAGCTGGCAGAGCTTGGAACGATCGATTAGATGAAGAACTCCGAAGTCTTGGAGCGGTTCCATCCGAAGCAGATCCTTGTGTATACGTCGTCCAGGCATCGAACGTCACAAGTTTTATAGTCATTTACGTTGACGATATATTGATTATGTCGAGCAGTGAAGTGGAAATCGAACGACTGAAGAATTGTCTTTGTGAAAAATTTGAAGTCAAAGATTTGGGATGAGACGCGATGTAGTAAAGTGTTTGCATATAAAGTAGTTGAGGTTTGAGGGGAAGTGTTGGTAATGTGTGTACATTTATTTCATCCCTCATACTTTAAGGTAGTCAACTTAGTAGGCATAGAGATACATTTTGTTGATATAATAATTGATGTAGAAAATATATTCTCGACTGACGTGTATTAAGAGATTGCATTTCAATTCCTTCCCTATTGTTCCTACAAGAACCGCTTCCGGGAGAATTTGATAAACTTTCAATTTTGTTGAAAAAATGGTGGAGGCGCCAGAATAAAATGTAATCTCTCCCTTATTTGAGCACCTACAGAAAGAACAAGGACAGACTCGCGATCCCGAGAAAAATTCGGTTCGGATAGAACCTTTTTCGGGAGCGTTAGAACAACTTTCAAGTTTGGTGGAGAAATGATGGAGGCACTAAAATAAAATTTAATTTCTTCCTTTTTTGACGACCAAGAGAAAAAATAAGGGCAGATTTGTTATGTCGAGAAAATTTCGGTATGCATAGATTGTTTTGCTGGAAAATTTGAGCAACACTCAACTTTGATGAAAAATGGTGGAGGCGCTAGAATAAAATTTAATTTCTCCATTATCTGAGAACCTATAGGAAAAGTTAGGGCAGATACGTGATCCTGAAAAAATTTCAGTTCGTATAGAACCTTTTGCGGTAGAATTTCAGCAGCTTTCAAGTTTGATGCAAAAATGGTGGAGGCGCCACTATAAAAATTAATTTCTTCCTTATTCGGAGACCTACTGGCAAAATAAGGGAAAATTTGTGATCCCTAGAAAGTTTCGGTTCGGACAGAACCTTTTCCGGGAGCGTTGGAACAACTTTCAATTTTGGTGGAAAAATGGCGGAGGCGCTAGAATGAAATCTAATTTCTCCATTATCTGAGAACCTATAGGAAAAATTGGGGCCGATTCGTGATCCTGAAAAGATTTCAGTTCGGATAGAACCTTTTCCGGTAGAATTTCAGCAGCTTTCAAGTTTGATGCAAAAATGGTGGAGGCGCCACTATAAAAATTAATTTCTTCCTTATTTGGAGACCTACTGGCAAAATAAGGGAAAATTTGTGATCCCTAGAAAATTTCGGTTCGGATAGAACCTTTCCCGGGACAGTTGGAACAACTTTCAATTTTGGTGGAAAAATGGTTAAGGCGCTAAAATAAAATTTAATTTCTCCTTTTTTTGACGACCTAAAGAAAAAAATAAGGGCAGATTTGTTATGTTGAGAAAATTTCGGTATGGATAGATTGTTTTGCTGGAGAATTTGGGCAACACTCAACTTTGATGCAAAATGGTGGAGGCGCTAGAATAAAATTTAATTTCTGCATTATCTGAGAACCTATAGGAAAAGTTAGGGCAGATTCGTGATCCTAATTAATTTCAGTTCGGATAGAACCTTTTCCAGTAGAATTTCAGCAGCTTTCATGTTTGATGCAAAAATGGTGAAGCCGCTACAATAAAAATTAATTTCTTCCTTATTTGGAGACCTACTGGCAAAATAAGGGAAAATTTGTGATCCCTAGAAAATTTCGGTTCGGATAGAACCTTTATTTTATATTTTATGAACCTGACCTAACTTGACGTAACGTCACCTGACCTGTGCTGACTTCTCTATTATCCCAAATTTCCGAAGAAACGAAGCTGAAAATGACTTCCTGGATATAGAAATCTCCAAGAAAATGTTCTCAAGTAGTTTTCGAAAATAGTTGAAAAATGTTAGAATTTGTCAAAAGTGCCAAAATCACGTTTATCTTATCAGATACTAGCCCCGCCCACCCACCCTCTATTTTCTTCGGAAGTATGTCATTTGCTAAAATCGATCTCTTCTTAGGAAGTACTAGCCGCACCCACCCCTTCTTCTCATTCTAACGATTAATTTTATTTTTGTTCCGTTTAAGATGAATCATTTCATTCAGTTTGGATGAAATTAATCCCTGAAAAGGAGGCCGGGTGGGTGGGCGGGGCTAATTGTGTTCTTCTGACGAGTGGGAGTGGAAAATATATGTAACAGAATAGAATTGAAAAAAGTAAAAAAAAGCGCTAATTTTAACTTTTTGATATACTATTTGGTATAAAATTTATTTTTTATTTTATGCATCTGACCTAACTTGACGTAACGTGACCTGACCTGTCTTAAATTCTCTATTACCTCAAATTTTCGAAGAAACGAAGCTGAAAATGACTTTTGGATATCGAAATCTACAAAAAAATGTCTTCAACTAATTTTCGAAAATAGTTGAAAACGGTGGAAAATGTCAAACGTGCCAAACTCACCCTAGTGCTATCAAATACATAGTGTAAAATTAGTTTTTTATAAAAGTTGCCCAAAAGTTTTCTGGGATGTATATGTTTATAATCACGTAGAAATATTTTCGAAATATTCGGTGTAAAATTCTAATTTTTTGAAATTTCTAAAATTTGGGATATTTCAATGAGCGATTCTGGAAAAACGGTTAGAGTGTTAAAAGAAATGCCGCCGGAAGTGATTTCGGCGATCCAAAATCTAGAAAAAAATCTATTAAGTTAAATTTCGGAAATGGTCGAGGTTGAGGCGAAATGTGCATAAGAAAATTAGTTGAAAATGGTAGAAAATATTAAAAGTGCCAAAATCACTCTTATCTTGTCATTATCAAATACATAGTGTAAGATTTATTTGTTAAAAAAGTTGGCTAAAAATTCTCAACAAATTCTGAGATGTAGATCTCAACGAGCTAATTCAAAAGATATAACGTGCTATTGATCACGAAGCAATATTTTCGAAAAATTCGGTGTGAAGTTTATTTTGAAAGTTCTAAAAATTGTGAAATTTCAATGGATGATTCTGGAAACACGTGAGTGATCAAAGAAATGAGAAATTATTTAGTTAAATTTCGAAAAGGGTCGAGATTGGCTCGAAATTGTGTTCGTTTGTCGAGTGGGAGTGGAAATTAATGTGTAATAGAATCTAGAATCTGAAAAAAGTACAAAAAAAAAACGCTAATCGTACCTTTTTTGATATACTATTTGCTATAAAATTTATTTCTTATTCTATGCACCTGACCTGACTTGACGTAACATGATTTGATCTGCCCTGACTTCTCTATTGTCCCAAATTTTTAAAGAAACGAACCCGAAAATGACTTCTGGATATCGAAATCTCCAAGAAAATGACTACAACTAATTTTTGAAAATAGAAAATAGAATATAGAAAATAGAAATATTTAAAAAATGGTAGAACGTGTCAAAAGTGCCAAAATCTTATCAAATACATAATGTAAAAATTTCTTTGTTAACAAAGTTGGACAAAAATTCTCAAAAATTTGTAGATCTCGAGGTGCTGATTCCATAAATGTAGTGTGTTTATGGTCAGGGAAGAAAATTAGTTTAAAAAATGGTATAAAATGTTCAAAGTGACAAAATCATTCTTATCTTTTCAAATACAAGTCCCGCCCACCCGCCCTCTATTTTCTTAGGGAGTATGTCATTTGCCAAAATCAGTCTTATCTTCGCAAGTGCTAACCCCGCCCACCCCCCTCTTCTCATTCTAACGTCTAATTTTATTTCTGTTCAGTATAATATCATTAATTTCATTCATTTTGGATAAAATCAGTGAAAAAAATGCAGGGTGGGTGGGCGGGGCTAATTGTTTTCTTTTGTCAAAAGTGCCAAAATGACTCTTACATTACCAAATACATGGTGTGAAATTTCTGTTTTATAAAAGTTGTCCAAAAAAATCTCAAAAAATTCTGAGATGTATGTGTTTATGATCACGGAGCAACATTTTGGAAACCCAGTAAACACAGTTGCGTCGCAGCGATGTTAATGCCACTTAACTCTGTCTACGATCTTGTTAGCTGTTACATACCAAACTGCGTACATTTGCTTTCCCTGTGCTATGTAATGTAATCAACAGTGACCCATGCTTGTAACATACTGGTGACATCCACATTGTTTCAGAGTAGAGACGTGCTCGCTGGTACATCATCATAACGTTGTGTTAGTATGTCGCTAGATTCTCTATATTTTGATGTATCTGTTACGTTTTATTTTAAACGCCAATATAACGTATTAAATGGACATAGACGTTACGTATATATCGCAACATCGTAAACATATAACTCTCAGTATATTTTATTAACATGATCTATGCGATATGAATAGGCATTTCAAAAAGTCTAGTTACCATTTAGGGATATGGATATGGAGAGTAAAATTTAGAGCTTACAGTAAATTATTATTTTATTCAATGTTTGAAAAAATAAAATATGTAATAAGTAATAAAATACAAAAATTAATACAAATTCATAATATAAATAAATACATATATATATGATTTCCTAATTCGAAAATAATACAATATAATTTACACTTAAAAAAGACATAGAAACTATAAACTGTCGTTGTTTTTTCTTTCTTCAGGCGTTGACTAGAATGCCTTAGCCACTCTGAGCAGCGTTGTTCTACTTCTTTTTCTATTGCGGAATGGGTCTTCATTGTAATTTCTTCAAAAATAAAAATTGTAATAATTATATTTATTGCAAAAAAAAATACCTTTCATAATATTCATTGTTTTTGTCCCAGCCATTTTGGAATTTTCCTACCGAACAAACAAGCTACAGCAAATTCGCTGATTTTTTTTTTTTTTTTAAATACACGCCCCACATTGTTCTTTTTCCCATTACCACCTATCTGGGACAATAGCAGTTCCTGAAATAAGAAAAGAAGAAAATATTTTTATGTGTATATATCGAGCGACTCTGAAATAAGTTCGGAAAATAAAACCACAACATCATGAAGTAGAGAAAATTTTAAGTAATTTCTTTTATCTAGTCCTAATTCAGGGGAAAAAATATCAAGATCTACACCTCATTCAGTGCCATTTGTTTTCATCTAAACAACACACAGAAAAAATAAAGAAAAAATTTAGTCACAATGGAAACTGAATAAATCATTGCCGCATCATTTACATTTAACAAGATGTTCCGTATTTGTTTCTTGAAACTGGAGCAGCAATTTAATTACTTTGAATCCGTGTGACAATTAAAGGATTTTTTTTCCGAATCTATTTGGAAGTCACCGCGTATGTATAACATACAGGGTGCTTCACTATAAGACTTTTCTGCAACCCACTATGTATGTAACGTGTTAAGCTAAATGTGTCATGTTTAGTAGGTTTCTAAAAAGTGTTATAGTATTACAGGCATCTACCTGTATATAATATCCAAAATTATGTTATATGTAAGTACATATAAATATATTTAGTCCAGTCATTTTAGCATAAAAAAGGGATCAACCTCGGAATGAGAGACAATAAGCTGAATTTTTGTATACGCCTTAATTTTGGCGTTCTAAAAGTTGTCTCAAAAGTCTCATAAAATCTCGTGTCTGCGTCGTAAGTTATTCAAGGTCAAAGGTCAAGAAAAACAGTTTTTTGCAATTATCTCAGTTTCTATTGCTCCAATGATGTTAACAATTATTATCATAATTGTAGATAACAAAATTTGGGACAAATTTTATTTGAAATATTTTTTCATGCGCTCAATCGTTTTTGAGATAGAGGACAGTAGCGCTCGTCCATACGTACTGTAATGCAATCAACTGAATATCTGTGAATACTACCTTGAATTTTGAATAATTTATATTATTAATCAATTAATACATTGTATTTAATAACATTTTACATATTTTCAATATATTCATAGAATAATACTTACCTACTTTGTGTAATTAAAAACTCATTTAATGAAATATTTAATGTATATCTCAATTTATTTATATCTTTAAAGTGTGTAAGTTTTTAAATACTTATTTTTCTATCATGATTATAACTGGAAGGTCTGGAAACAACAATTTAGGGCACCGAAGATGACGACGATGAAACAGAAATTCCCGAACGTCCAGAAGATGACGGTGAAGAAGAAGAAAATTGATACTTTTGTTTTTTAAATTATTAAAAATTTATAGATTTTCACTGCAATTCAATTTCAATCGTAAGAAATGTACAGCTGCTGAATAAAGATAAAATTAAAATATATTAACTCGTTTTACTTCCTTAAAATTTACTTTAAAAAAATTAATATAACTTTAAGATATATAATAATCTAACCTAAGATATACCTACAATAAATATGTCATTTAAAGAGTTTTTAATTATACAAAGTAGGTAAGTATCATTAAATAAATGTATGGAAAATATGCAAAATGTTATTAAATGCAATGTATTAACTCATAAATAATACAAATTTTTCAAAATTCAAGGTAGTATTCACAGATATTCACGGTTGATTGCATTACAGTATGATTGGATGAACGCTGCGCGCCCACTGCCCTCTATCTCAAAAACGATTAAGTGTATCAAAAAATGTTTCAAATAAAATTTGTCCCAAATTTTATGCTCTACAATTATGATAATAGGTGTTAACATCATTAGAGCAATAGAAACCGAGATAATCGCAAAATAATGTTTTTCTTGACCTTTGACCTTGAATAACTTACGACGCAGTCACGAGATTTTATGAGAGTTTTGAGACAACTTTTAGAACGCTAAAATGAAGGTATATACGAAAATTCAGCTTATTATCTCTCATTGCGAGGTTGATCGCTAATTTGACTGAACTAATTGTATTTTTTTAACTTACAAAGAAACCTGGTTGTTGTAGTAGGCAGAGATAATCTTCTAATTCCTCAAAATTTGTTTATCTGTGGTCTTGGCGGCATATCTTCTATTACTGTTTTCTCTTTGATTTGTCACATTTGATGACGTTTTCATATTGGAGATTTGTTCACTCGTTTCCTTTAAAATTTCTTTTGTTTCGCACATATTTTTTGTATTTGTTTCAAGTCTAGAGTAAAATTATGTTCATTAGCACCTAGTTCATAAAAAATTGCAGTAACATACCTTTGCAACATGTTATGGCAAAGCGCCTCACTTTCAAAAACAATCACCGTAAGTTCTTCAAAATCAGCGGGAGTATCTTCAGTGATTAATGGTGGTATTTCCAGCTTGTCTGAAAAAACTGTTGTTGTTATTTACGTACAGTTATCAAAAACAACAGAAGCATGTAAAAATTAAAATGATTACTTCATTAGAATTATATTAACTTACCTAGTGTAAATTCAACCCACACAATTTTCACAAAACTGCATTAAAAATGAAGTGAGTTATGGATTTACGAGAAAGGTTCGGTGGTTGTGACCCAAATGGCCAAATGGAATTCGACAGCTTCACTGTGAGTGTGAAGTGCAATAACCATAAATATGGAAAAAAGGGATCGTCCGACTCATAGACAAACCAAACTAACAAAGGTCCGACTGCACCCCCCAAACATCTGGTGGATAGTAAATGCAGAAGTTGAGCGTTATTTTTTCATTAGATAAAATAAATTTAATAAAATCAAAATTAACCACTCTCTAGTTTTTTTGCTACCCATCATCGCTTTATAAACGTCTTTATAAAATCAAAATTCGACGAATGAACTCTTCAAAACCTTGTCCCGTTTCAGGGACAATGGGCAAAGAATTTTTATGGCTTTGTTTGTGTCGTTGGGTCTTCCCTATATTACCGCAGATGTTTAAGGTGACCAGACGTTCCGATTTGATCGGAAGTGTACCGATTTCAATACTCTAATAATTCCGATTTCAAATTTCGTCCAATAAATGTTCCGATTAAAACATTCGTTCCGTGAATGTTCCGATTTCTATAAATCTGATAAGAATAAAGATAAATCCTCGGATAAATCACTAATTTTCATGAATAGTAATTTTATTTTGTGAAAAATTGGGAACAAAACTTGTATCGATACGGTTGTCAGCACTGTTTTAAATGTCAGCAAATGTCAGTACTGTTAGTATATTACAACTAAAAATTTTCAAAGCAGTTATATATCAGATTACGATGGAAATGGAAACTAATGTTCCGATTTCGGACTTTTGAAATCTGGTCACCTTACAGATGTTCTATTTATCATTTGCCAAGCAGGTACTTACAAAATAACATTTCAAGTAAACAAGTTTACAGAAATAATTCTTAGAAATTATTACAATGAAAAGAACTTGTCTTTGGTATATTTCTAATAAAGCCGTTGTATTTTTCGCTCTGAATATAATTATTAATTAAGCATTACGAACTCACTGACGAAGGTCACTTTTTAAAGAATACGACGACCCACATCTAATTGACCATATAATCTTTAACAATAAATTTCAAATAATACCATAGTGGTTTTTTTAAATTTTGATAAGGTGTTGTAAAACTATTTCTGTTTCTGTTTTCATTTCAGCTACCTACTGTATTTACGTGGGCAAAGGATGCCGTTCGTGGGATTTTAGGGGCGGAAACGTATACCTGCTTAAATACTGTAAATACAGTGGTGTCGAACGAAGACAACAACAGAAACATACCCGATGAATTGGTTATTATTAGAGAGCGGATTTTATGAAATTTGCATATCCGTTATTTTTTGCATATAAGTCTTGATATTTAATATGTGAACGAATCATGCTAATTAAAAATGAATACAGCTATAAAAAAATTGCATATTTGCATATATTTGCCTTCTGCTGCATATTTCACGTAACGGGTCCATATTTTGCATTTTTATCAACTTTTGTTCTACTTTGAAAAAAAAAGCCATTCGATCGGCATTTTTCTAGAAAAACGAAATTTCATGAATCATATTGCAAATAACTGGGAAAGGTTTGGGTTTTATGGTAGTTTGGAGGAACCACTGGGTGTTAAGCCATCCTTCCAGGTAAATTCGGGTCCTAATTACTTTTGGAAATACCGTTCATTTCAATATTTTTATTCAATTTTGCCGTCAGTAGGCCACTAAAGCTTTGGTTTATCCGATAGCGCCATAAAATTTTTAAACCGCTAGCGAAATAAAATTTTTATTTTGCTGTTTTAAAACCATGGTTACCATTTCTGTAATTTCTCCAGTGCCTTGCTGCTCTTTTCATTTAAGGAACTTTTGATACACTTTCTGATTTCCTCTTTTCTGGGAGCAAGTTTTGTCGTTGGAATCTTGCATGATTTTGCAATTTTTCGATAATTTTAGTTTGTTTAAAATAAACAAACACCGTCGCCAGAGTCACATACTACACACACACACCTGATATTGTAACCTAAATTCTAAGCATATAAAATTTTTATTTGGTCGCTGTCAGTTCTGACGTTTCTCGAATGTGAACTTTGAATCACCAATTTTTTCACAATTTGGGACTTGGGGTTGTCAAAATTAAATAAAAGTTTGTATTACACTCGCGATTAAAATGAATGTGTAACTCGCGGTCTTAAGGCGCTCGCGGCATACGCCGCTCTCGCCTTAAACTGACCGCTCATTAAACATTCACTTTAACCGCTTGTATAATAAATAACTATTGTTCGTTACTTAAGTGTATTAATGGTATGTTTTATGGTGGTCGAAGGGACGTTATCCTATTATTTTTCATCGTGAGTTTGCATTTAAGTGTTTAAAGCGATAGAGATGTGTGTCAATATGTAGATAACTCAAATTAATTTATGCATTAAACCTTTTCCTGAACTTATTCTTCAAGAAGGAACTGTGTTTTGTTGTGCTTGCTCTAATCCGATAAGTATTTTTACATCTGTGGACGCAGTACGCAGTTTTTATATTTACAAATACATACTTTAGAATCACCGGAAAAATTTTTGTTAGAATATTTCGAAAAATATTTAAAAATAAATTGTTACCAAAATAGTAATTAAATAGTCGATTACTACTATTTTTTAATTCGTTCTGTTTACCTATATTTATTTTTGAGTATAAGAATATTATCTTAAAAAATGTCATTTATTTGTCAGTGAGATCTAATTAAATACTTTGCAATGTGATTTATGTATTTTTTGTAATAAAAGGTAAGGTGTTTTTGCAATTTGTAAATAAATTTTGTTCGGTTATTACGCTTTTTTTTATTTTTGGAGCATATGCAACTGCATATCTCTGCATATATTAAGAAAGTTATTGCATATTTGCATAAATTTGATGCATGTCATATGATCATATTTCCCAAAATTTTGCTGCATATTTTCCGCTCTCTTCTTATTATACATACACTCTATTACCGACATTAAAAAAAGTCTACACTATTTCGTCATATCTGCTGCTTTATTATCAGTTTTCGGTTAGTTACATATTGGATATGAAATTAAGTGAATTTTTTGAATAAATAATAATTTAAAGATCAACCACGAAAATACTCAATTATAATTATACATTATACATTACCAGTTTATTTTAGAGCCCAAGATTACATTGGAAAAATCTAAACTTTTGAAAATTTAATGTTAAACAGATATACCTATAACTGAGTGCGAAAGTCAATACACAAAACTCGATGATCAATTATTGTTTCGTATTCAAATTATTATTTGTTTTCCTTACGATCAAAGTGAAGAAATTATTTAATTCATTTTTATTTAAGAACGATATCGCTAACCTTGAAATAGATTAGTTTTTTAATTTCGATTTTTTTCTTTTTGTTTCTTTTGTTGCCGATCAACATATTTTGCATTAGAATTAATAAAATAAGGAAATATATCATTTTATTTTTCGAGTTCATTTCAAAATTCTGTATATGTATAATTGTTCCTTTTTGGCAGTGACGTATAGGCAGAGGTTAAAAAATAATGTCTCATTACTAGTTTTAATTCGTATTACCTGTTAGATGGGACATTTTTTAATTCTGATCATAAACTATGTGCATTAAGTCTCTTGTTCTGTTTTATAAAGCGCAGGTTGTTATGGACATATAAAAATAAAATTATAAATAAATATAATTACAGGAAATATAATATGAAAAAAAAAATTAAGAGCAACTCACTATTGGCGTCATCTCGCTTGTGCAAGATTTAAGACAGGGAAGAAATTTCTTTTTTTAAGACTCAGCATCTTTTGTTTATGAATATGCTATTTACTTGCAACACAAACATAAATAATAAATATAAAATAGAGCTATATAATACTCGATATGTATGTTTTTAAATATTTTTTGCTGTTGCCCTGTCAGAAACGTTAATTTTCGATTTAACATGCCATTTTGTAAAATCAACTGAAAAACACTTTGCATAATTAACTAATAAAAATAAAACATTCCGAAGAATGTATATGTATATATTAATCAGATATCTAGTAACGACAGTTAACATTACTTATTGGTTACATACTCCATTGTGATGTTACAAGGCTTACCTGCCAACTATATCGCTGCTACACAATAATGAGATATCTAGTAAATGCAGTTAACATTAGGTGTTAGTTACATAACAAGAGTACCACAGTGTGATGTTTAAATGTTTATATGCAAGCTATATCGCTGCGACATAATAATGAGATATCTAGTAAATGTAATCAACATTACGTGTTTGTTACATAGCATGAGTACTCCATTGTGATGTTATATAGCTTACGTTCCAGGTATATCGTTAAGACATAATCATGCGATGTACTTATTGTTCTTTTGTGAGTACGTACCTGTCACGTCAACATCACAACTGTGTTTACTGGGAATATTCGGTGTAAAAGTCGATTTTTTGAAATTTCTTAAATTTGCCATATTTCAATGGATTATTTTTGAAAAACGGTTAGACCGATCGAAGAAATGGGGTCGGTAGTGACTTCTGCAGCCCAAAATCTACAAGAAAATGTATTTAATGAACTTTCGAAAATGGTCGACAATGGATCAAAATTTGCCTAGGGGGGGTATACATATTATAAAATTTCTTTTTTAAAAAACTTGTCTAAGAATTATAAAAAAAATTCTGGGATGTAGATCTCGACGTGCTGATTCCATAAATATAGCGTGTTTATGGCCGCTGAGCAATATTTTCGAAAAGTTAGGTGTGAAATTCGAATTTTTCGTAGAAAATATTCTGAAGTAAAACTTTATAATTCATAAATCTAGAGGGTGTCGTTTTCAAGAATAGCACTAATTTAACTTAACTCCTTACGGAACTTAAAAATGATTTGATTAAGTAACTAAAATAGAATTTGGAAGACATATCAATCAAGGATAAAAATAAAAATAACAGTAATGTGAAAATTTAATTATCTTATACAAGGAATTTGGAATATTTTCTAATAAATAATTTTTCCATGTGTTCCAAATTATAACATGGTAACATGTCAGACACCAATTTTTTTTTCTTGATTATAGCACTGTTAGTAGTGGACTTTTGTGTGTTACCCAGCCATATATGCTGTATGGTTTATTTGTTTAACTTTGCGACGACACTTGATACAAAAGAGCAAAATATGACCAAGCAGTTTTCAGAATCTACAAAAAAAATGTATAATTTGAAGAAATAATTCGCTATTAATTATAATTACCCTCATGTATGTATCCAATGAAAGATAAAACAAATTCAACGCAGATATTTGAACTGGTTTTAAATGCATGGTGAAAAAAAACAACTTCTTTTTAATATCTTCAGGTAGATCAGTCCAGTCGGATTCGAATACAGCATATGAAAGATTACCACTCTAAAATAAAATTATTAATATTTACGCGTATAAATGTCTACAGGATTACCTTAGCTTGTACCTCGTTTCCAGACCAACAATGCATAAATATCTGAACAGTTATAGCAAGACCATACGAAAGGAGAGAGTAAAATTCGCTGGAAAAAGGGACAACCTGTAACTAACACCTTGAGAAACATTCACAACTAAGCACAAATTTACCGCTGTTAGCTGAAACATAGTTATGCCAATGGAGACACCACTAAACAAAAGGTGCCAAAATAAAATCCAGTTGAAAAATTTCGTCGAGCTTTCAATAAACCTGAAAATACAGATAAAACTACTATCAAACCATTGTTAAACTCACTCACCTTAAGATATTTTTATGGTGTTCTACACACCTTAACATGTTGTGATACACATCATTACTAGATGTCTGATCTACATTTGCCAGATTCCTAATGTTGTCTCTCAACATGTCGAACTGAGAAGAAGTATACACATTGAATGCTGATATCAATTGGTCGACATTCACATGAAGTGTAGACAGATAGCAAATGCCTATCACTTGATATATGTAAGTGATTTCATAATACGGCGACTTTTTATAATCGTATGGGTACCACCCCAGAAACGGTAATCTTTTCTCTTCGGATTTATCCATCATAGGATAAATTGCCCAGAAGGTGTTACCTCCAAAACACATGCTCAAATACACTTTATAAATCGTCTTCCAGACGTAAATGGTGGGCTCGATGAGATTTCGCTGTTGAGTGTTCCTTGGCTGAAACCAGTCGCTCTTAAAAATGATCATTCTTTCTTTGAGTATTTTCATATTTTTGATTAAATAATACGCTTTCACTCCTCCCAGAATTTCCATAAGCAAGAGGTAAGAAGTTGCCACTATTGACTTCAAATCGTGAGCAATGAAATAGACATTTACCACTTGAAAGAATATGTGTCCGAAGACGAAAAGTGATACTGTGATTGAAGAATATACCATGTAGAATCCAGGTTCGTAAGTTTTGTCACCTTCGGGCCACAGACCCATGATTCGCAGCAGAATTATGTTCGTTTTGATTTTTGATTGCCACTTGTATTTTTCCATTGTGGAGGGTGGACTGTGCTTAAAAGCTTGTAATTTATGATACTGTATTAGTAATATCAACAATAATCATATGGTAAATTTCGATCTTTTCTAGTCGGAGCTTAGACGAAAAATGTTCGTCGTGATGATTTTTATCTGTTTATAGAATTTTCTCAAGGTAAAAATAAAACACTGGTATTAAAAGGTTTTTATAAATCGTCTAATTATATACATTCTACCGTTTAAGATGACCGTAATTTTTAGGTAAGTACTATTTACTTTTCGTTACACCTATCAATTAGTGCGCCCGAAGTAAAACTGAACCGTATTATTTTGGAGGGTAATTGTAGAAAAGAATTTCGGAGAAACTAAGTAAGCTCATTAATTAGTAAAACTCGTACACGATAATTATCTCTGTAATTATTGTTCTGGTTAACTCCGCAGGTATTTTTTTATTTGGCTCGGGAGTATTTGTTGTAAGACTTTTAAAGGTTGAACAATTAAATTTTTTTGAAGGGTGACTACGTTAGTTTGCATTGCAACTGTTGTTTTTGTTTCTCGGAGAAATGGATACTAGGAAATGTCAAAATTAACTTACAAAAAGTTGGTACGTAAAAATTTATGTTGTGAACAATATTGTGCGATTTTACATTAGTTTCATATAAGTTTATTTGTATATTTTATAATAACATATATAATAGTTTTACTTGAAAGACTTTCAAAATTACTACTACGGTTTGAGAAAAAAAAAAAAAAATTTGTTGCTTTAGATACATATTAATAATAACGAAACTCGGAGATTTTGCAAAATTAGTCAATAAAATGGACATATTATAACTTTTTTATTGTTAATAAAATTTGATAAAAAATTACTTGTCTAACAAGAGTTAGGTAAAGTCTATGAGGTAATTCATATCTTTTTAGTTGGAATCAGATGCCTGTATTGATAATACTAGCAAATATTTTTGTAATGAAAAATTAAGACATTATTAAGTATTTTTGAAATTGCAATGCTATCCGATTTTTTTAATTTCAGAAAATTTCTAAAATAGTTTCCCTATTTCTTGTCGAATCTGATCAATTATTGTAATGCTTTTTACAAAATTCTAAAAACGTATTTGACCGACTGTTATTTTAGTTAACTTCACGGATGAATTCAGAAAAAAATAATTAGTTCTCCAAATAATGTTATTAACAATGAAAATGGGCTAAGAGGTGTAATTTTTTACAATTTTGGAATCTTCGTTTGGCCGATTTTTATAGCTACAAGTAAATTATTTTTCCTGATTTTTAATTTTAATATAACTCAGGCGATAAAATATATTAAAAAATAAGTAGACAATAAATTTGCTTAGCTTGATTTTAATTTTACACAGTTCTCTCTCTCATAATTCCTGATTTTTATAGAGAACAATTTAAATGCGCACTAGTTTTAATGAAATGTGAAATAAGTCACAGCATTAATAAAAACATTTCCGCACAGAAGAAACTATTTCAGCATTTGTAAAACTGAAAGGGCAATAATTAAATAAATGGCAGATTATTTTTTCTATTTGCGCAATAAATAATGCAATTTAGAATTATTTAATTAAATTTGCTCATTCGTTAAAATAATTGTTTCTTTAATAAATCAATTTGTATTTGAGAAAAAATAAACGAGCATTTCAAATGTTCCGTAAATTACTAAAATGTGCATTAGTTCACAGTAAAGTGGGCATTACACTCCCACTCTTTAAAAGACGTGTCATATGCTTCATTTCGCGCCAGTTCGGCAGGGAAGGAATCCGCCCTTCTAAAGCCAAAAAAACATTAATTATTTTTATTCAATAAATTAATAATGTATAGTAATCGAGTTTTTTGATGAAAGAATGCTTATTTTAAGTTTTTTTGTTAATTTTTTCAAAACCTTTAATTTGTTTGGCTACTTTTTTGCTATGAATATCTTTTGTTTTTGTTAATTTTGTATCCATTCATAAAATATATTTTAATACAGCAGGTCTATTTTTGTTTGTTATTTTCTATACAGTTTCCATAATGCACGCAGTACAGAAAATCATTGCCCACAACAATAATTTTATTATTCCAATTTGCACTTAATATAATGCACAAAATGCAAAAACTTATGTCGCAACATAGTAAATTTAATGCACAAATGTTATTGTGCATAGTGTAAAATTTAATGCACAAAGTATTAAAAATAATGCACACTTAATTACGACCCATTTTAATAAATATGTACTTACCATTTTTGCAAGTCGTTGCTTAGACCTTAGCGGTGAAATGTTGTGGAAGTTGCATCGAACAAATAGCGCGGATATTGCGAGATCGAACCTTTTTCTTATTTTGTAAATGGTATTATCTATTTTTTTAACATATATGTGTGATATCTAAAAATTAATCAAATTTCACACCTTTCCCTTATTTGAGATCCTATAAGAAAAATAAACGGTGATTCGCGATCCCGAGGAAAATTCGGTTCGGATAGAGCCTCTTGCGCGAAAATTTGTTAAACTTTTCAATTTAGTGACAAAATGGTGGAGGCGCCACATTAAAATTTAATATCTTCCTTATTTGGAGACCTACTGGCAAAATAAGGGAAAATTTGTGATCCCTAGAAAATTTCGGTTCGGATAGTACCTTTTTCGGGAGCGTTAGAACAACTTTCAAGTTTGGTGGAAAAATGATGGAGGCGCTAAAATAAAATTTAATTTCTCCCTTTTTTGACGACCTAGAGAAAAAATAGGGGCAGATTTGTAATGTCGAGAAAATTTCGGTATGCATAGATTGTTTTGCCGGACAATTTGAGCAACACTCAACTTTGATGAAAAATGGTGGAGGCGCTAGAATAAAATTTAATTTCTTCATTATTTGAGAACTTATAGGAAAAATTGGAGCAGATTCGTGATCCTGAAAAAGCATAAGTTCGGATAGATCCTTTTCCGGTCGAATTTTAGCAGCTTTCAACTAATTTTCGAAAATAGTTGAAAATGGTGGAAACTGTCAGACGTGCCAAACTCACCCTAGTGCACGGCTGTAGAATAGATAGGTTGAGAATCTTTCATTCATTCACGTTCCGGTAGGTGGAATAATTTCTTTCCGTACCAGTTGGCCATGACGCGCGTTATCGAATGGGTCCCTCTTACGGTATTTAGAGGCATTAACTTTTGCCACATCAAAAGGACACGATTATACCGACATAAATGACAACTTTGACATTTAATCAAAGCATTTAATAATAATTTTTATGTTAAACGTTCAATCTTTTGGAAGCGTCTTTGACCATTGTTTACACTAGCTACTATGCGACTTCTCTGAAACCGTTTTTGCAGAACCCTCATACAACGCCCCTGCCCTGATCGCGTTCCTACTCTTCAAATGTTATGAGAAATGTTTGTACAACATTTGAAGGTTAGGTAGGAACGTGATCAGGGGTGTTGTATGAGGTTTTTGTGGGGGCGGATTCGGCAAAATCACGGTGGCTAATGTAATCAATTACCGAAAAGTTCTTAACCAGTACATTGTCAACTTGTTTTTCGAAGGAATCTGTGTTTATCTGGTCATCGCACATGCTTGTTTAATGATTGTTTACATGAAACAATAGTGCTAGAAATATCGAACAAACCTGCGGTTGCCGAGGTTTGTTATGTATAAAATGTACGTTCCTCTCTGAGTTGGCGATCTCGTTAAACCAATTTAAACAGTAATTTCTATCATAATACATCAACTAGAAGTAGAATGACAGTTTTGGCAGCATGTCAGTTGTCAATTTGCCATTGCAGTAGTGGAAAATTTCATTCATAAAGATGTTAGTGTGTAATCGTAATTCACAGATGGCGAAACGATCTAAAGCGCGCCAAAGCCGCCTAGGACACCCAAATTTTATTCCACCAAATTTCCCTTAGTGTACCAACCTTATATTCTACAGCCGTGCCCTAGTGCTATCAAATACATAGTGTAAAATTAGTTTTTTATAAAAGTTGCCCAAAACTTTTCTGGGATGTATATGTTTATAATCACGTAGAATATTTTCGAAATATTCGGTGTAAAATTCTAATTTTTTGAAATTTCTAAAGTTTGGGATATTTCAATGATCGAATCTGGAAAAACGATTATAGTGATCGAAGAAATGCGACCAGAAGTGATTTCGGCGATCCAAAATCTAGAAAAAAATCTAAAAATGGTCGAGGTTGGATCGAAATTTGCTTAAGAAAATTAGTTGAATATGGTAGAAAATGTTAAAAGTGCCAAAATCACTCTTATTTTGTCAAATACTAGCCCCGCCCACCCATCCTCCATTTTCTTAGGGAGTATATCATTTGACAAAATCAATCTTATCTTAGCAAGCGCTAGCCTCGCCCACCCCTCCTCTTCTCATTCTAAGGATTATTTTTATTTCTGTTCAGTATAAGATCATTCATTTCATTCAGTTTAGATAAAATCAATTACTTAAAAGGAGGCAGGGTGGGTGGGCGGAGCCAATTGTGTTCGAATGTCGAGTGGGTGTGGAAACTAATATATAATAGAATCTAGAATATGAAAAAAGTAAAAAAATCACTCTTGGTAACTTTCTGATATATTATTTGCTGTAAAATTTATTTTTTATTTCATGCACCTGACCTGACTTGTCCTGACTTCTCTATTGTCCCAAATTTTCAAAGAAACGTAGCCGAAAATGACTTCTGGGTTTCTAAATCTCCAAGAAAATGTCTTCAACTAATTTTCGAAAATAGTTGAAAAATGGTAGAAAATGTCAAAACACTCTTATGTTATCAATATCAAATACAATGTCTCAAATTTCTTTGTTAAAAAAGTTGGCTAAACATTCTTAAAAAATTCTGGGATGTAGATCTGGACGAGCTAATCCCAAAGATATAACGTGCTTATGGTTACGGAGCAATATTTTTGAAAAATTGGGTGTGAAATTCGAATATTTTGAAAATTTTAAAAATTGTAATATTTCAATGGATGATTCTGGAAAACGTGAGTGAACAAAAGAAATGAGGAGAAATGATTTAGTTAAA